AAGGGAAACATTTCAAATTCAAGCACTCAGGAGCCCGCCTGGAGAATTGAGGCATTTATTTTCAAGTTTTTGGCAATCAGGAGCCCGCCTGGAGAACAGAGGCATTTATTTCAAGTTTTAGCAGTCAGGAGCCCGCCTGGAGAACAAGGGAATTCATTTTCAGATGCATCTAGCTGCAGTCAGGAGCCCACCTGGAAAATGGACACATGTTTCAAGTAATCAAGCATCATTCGGAGGAATGGCAGCAATATTGCCAATCACAATGCAAGACAACAGCAGGAATACCACCGGAAGATTACAAGATACAAGTTCAAGGCAACACAAGAACAAGTTAGAAGACATAGATAGGACCCTTTTGTAATTCGTAGATCATAGCTTAGGCCAGCTTCTTTTTATTTTTAATCGGTGTAATAAGGAGGTCAGCGAGCAGTAGCAGCAGCAACAGCAATGAAAACACAGCTCCTGGTAGTCCCAGCTACCAAACCCTCCAGAACTACACTGACCTGATTCCTTTACAGCCAAGGCTATGTAGGCAACCTTTGAAGCAGGGTTCGGTCAGACGGTTTTCAAAATGCTTCACACGGAGTATTCGAATGGGCAAAAATTGCTCGTTTCCGCTCACTTATCTTCGCACGGAAACTCGTCGTGTTCCCGAGCAAAGAGGGGCAGCTGTGAGCACGTGATTTTTGCCCTACATGAATTACTCCTAGAAATTCAAACAAAATGATTTCTTTCATTATGTTACAATTTTGTGGATTTTTGGTGACATTTTAGGTTAATTGACTGCATTTTATCTGTGCATTTTAATTAGTAAAAACACAAAAAATACTTGGCATTTGCATTTAGGATTTAATTTCACATTTTTAGGATTATTTAGTAGTAAAGTTACTTTACAAAATTAAAGAAAATAGCAAAAAATGGTTCTTTTCCCAGCACCCTACCCAAAAACGGTTCTGGGCCATTTAATTAAGTTCTGCCCAACCCAAACACGCCCCAGGCCAGCCCAACCCACGTCCCAACCCGGTCCAGTCCCACACCCCACCCAAAACGACGTCGTTCCCTTTCTCTTTAATCTGGTCCGTCGATGTATCTCAATCCAACGGCCACGAACTGAGGAGTTATATGTATATAACTGTCCGAACTCATTGCCCCCCTCTCAGACCCCCCCCCCTATTCGTCTAAAAGACCAGCCGCCTTTATACCCACCATCCACCACCGCCCTCCACCGCCTGCCGCTCGCCGAAAATCGCCTGCGGCGGCGGCCGGTCACCAAAAGCCTCCAAAAACACACCACAGCACCTCCTCCATCTCCTCATTCCCAATCTGGGATCAGCCTTCCTCAATGCCCTTCCCAACTTCTCGAATCTTCAAAATTACAGTCACCGTCTCCGCCGTGTCCGGCGGCGGTCACCCCAAACCGGTCCAAAATCACACCTCATACTCCTCTCCTCCTCTCCTTTCCACATCCATGTCTACTTTCCCTCAAATATCACTCGAATTCCTCGAATTCCGATTCAAAGTTCCGCCCCGAAACCCTAATTTCTCCAAACAGTCCCAGATTAATACCATACACTCCCCTCACCCTCCTCTACCCAAATCCCTAAACCGTTGTCCCCAAATCCAACAGGCACTGATACAATTTCAAATCTAGGGTTGGAGAGGTTTGAACCTCTTCTGGGGTTTTGAAGGTTCGACTTGGCTCAGTTGATGTATTGTGTTTAGTAAAGTCCGAGTCAGTAAGTTCTTTCTTCTTTATTCAATTTTTTCCGTTTATGGTTGATTCTCTGCTCATGCTTTTGATTGATTCTGTTCTTGTGATCTTGTGTGAATCGATGTTTGTCTCTACTAGTATCGGGCTAGTCGTTACTAATTAGTTTAGTTAGGCTTCATCCTTGTTTAGCCTTCTATTTGTTTTTAGGATTAATCTTGACTCAATTTTGATTCATATGCTTGATTTCAATTATTTGATCAATAGATGTTACTTTCAATTTGATTTTAACCTAGTTCATTTATCGATTAATCCTTAGTTCACTGACCAGCCTAGGTAATGAGTGGAGTCAATGTGAATAATCTAGATTTTTGCTAACCATGGTCAATTATTGACCAATTATCAGGGTTGGAGGTTTGGGTCTGCTTGGTCAGTAATTTCAGGGGATTCAAAGGGTAGTTTAGGCATGGAAAAGGGTAGTTTCATCAAGTTTGGTAATTATTGAAGTAAACTAAAGGTAGAATAGGAATCTTAATAGGTATAGAACCTTCTAGGATGGACTATAGTGCATATTTCAGTAAACTTAGGGTAGTTACTTGTGTGACAAGTCAGAAAATAAAGGATAAAAATAGAATTAAAATAGGGACCAATGGGGTAAAGGGAAAATCTGAAATTGGACCTAAGTTCACCTATAAATAGGCATTCATTTGCCTTGATTCACAAGTTTGGAGCCTCCAAAAGTTCCCCAAAAAGCTCCCTCTTGAATTTCAGGCCTGATTTTTAAAATTTAAGCTTGCAAAAATCCAAAAACAGTAGATAATCGATAAAAAATCCAAAAATACATTACTATTCCACCAGATAATTCGAGCTAGTTTGAGTTCTGATTGTTGAGATCTATTCTTCTAGTTTCAAGTTTGAGAGGTCCATTAATTTGATTCTAGAGGAATTTTCAAGTTGGATTGTTTGACTTTGGATAATTTCTGGTTCGTTGAGACTGTTATGGGTCAATTCAAGTGGATTTGAGATAGCTAATTGGGTGTTTAAAGTATTTCGGTATTACTGGGGTTATTTGGTCTACCCCGTTTGATTTTCAAAACACTCCTGGGCTTCGAGTTTGAGTTCAATCGTGAATAGCCTGAAATTCATATCTAGTAGTGTTGGGTTCGATGTAAATTGGTGCTGCTTTCCATGTTGCCATATTACTTTAAAAATAGGAGTCGGAAGCAGCTAACAGTATTGGAATATACTAGCCTGTTAGAGCTGCTATAAAACAACGTGTGTTGGTTTTAAAGTACTCTTAAGTGTTAGACGTTACATTTTTGCAAGGTTCATTGCTGGATTTAAGTGTTAATAGGAGTAAGAGGGTTTATAAGTTAATCTTTATCAATAGGTATCACATTTTTGAGTAAAATTGATCATCAAGCCCTCCCTCTTCATTTCTTTGATAATCAATGGGGCTTTGGGTTCACAGTGGCTGGATTGAAATACTGGGCTCAAACGCTGACCCAGCAGAAACGGTCAGGCCCACGCAGCATACAAATGCTGCTGGATTGAAATACTGGGCCTTAAAAGTTTGGCCCATGAAGCATACAAATACTGCTGGGTTACCTTGAGAGCTGGCCCGGCGCAGGGCTTCTATTGTTGCTCTTGGGCCCAGGCCTAAAACCTGTAAAAATTATATCAGGAATATGGAAGTTGATTCACAAATATAAAATTGGGCTTTGAATTAGGTAATAAGTTCGAGCTAAAGGGTCTTTCCCTTTTGTTTGAAATTGAATTCGAATTTGAGGCCCAGATTTATAAATGTGAATTAACCAGTTGTTTTCTTTTGAGACAAATTCAATAAAATCATAGTTAATTTAGGATTAGCCCTAAATAAAAAATGAGACGAGCCTCGTTAAATCAGATGAATAAACTACGGAGCCCTCAATAAATGTTATAAAATACTTAGAATTCGGGTGAACCGTTTAGCGAATTTCACGGTTTTCCCCAAAGATAATAAACGCGTAGTTGCTTTAGGCGCGTATTTTAATAATATTACCTTCCTAAACACGGGTGCGCATTTATGTGACCCAAATCTGAATCTCAACGAAGTCGAAATGCGTCAAAAGCCACGGGTGCACTGGTGTGACGTGGTTCGAGATACATTTTCACGACGTTGCAATTCTTATTAAAACTAAATTAAAAGCGGTTTACTATTAAAAGCGCATAAGCTAGAACACGTTGTGAAATCAGATAAAATCAAATACAACAGTTGAGCGACCGTGCTAGAACCACGGAACCCGGGAATGCCTAATACCTTCTCTCGGGTTAACAGAATTCCTTACTCGGATTTCTGGTTCGCGGACTAATAACAGAGTCATAATTTTCTCGGATCGGGATTCGACCGGTGGCTTGGGACACCATTAATCTCCCAAGTGGCGACTCTGAATCTTTTAAATAAATCCCGTTTCGATTGTCACTTCAAGTGAAAAAACTCCTTTACACTCTTCCGGGGGTGTAGGTAAACAGGAGGTGTGACAACATTGTATTCATCGAACGATACAGTACAATACAATACAATACGATACGATACATTATGAAACGATACGTAACAACCATCCAAACAAGCTGTTAACCAAAGGAGATAGTGTCAGGTAAGGTATTTTTCTTATTTTCCATTGATTATATTTCCATATTAGCGGTTAGTAGAAAATGTTAGCACTTGTTTAAAAACGAAAGTAGAGGCAATGACATAATTTATTATCGGGGCATAATCTAATTAATTTTATCAGTCGAGGTGGCGAGGACATATGCGAGTTTAATTTGATGGATTTAACTTCTATATTTTTATTATTGAATTGGCTCTACTTATAAAATTGTAAATTTATTATCGATAATACTAAATTCAGTTGAATCCATTGAACAAGATCTATCCTGAAAATACTAAAATCTTGTCAAAACCACTTCAATCGTTGAATCACTACTAAGCTCTTTCTATCGGGCGTCTCCTAATCTTGCTAGTTCGGCTTGACTTTGCTTGCGGGGCAAGGGAAAGATTTGATGTATAATTTTTTTTTCGTGAAATAGAGGTGTGTCAAAGGTATTTTGTTATAAGTTGGAGGTGCAAAATATATATTAAGCCAAAACAGAAAGGAGATTGAAAATTGATAAGGAGATGGACCATCACATAAATATGTGATGAATAGACAAAATCCCACCTCAATTCGGATTATCCGTTAAAAACTACCCTCATATCCGAGTCGGATAAAAGGGTATAATGGGCCAAACACACGGAACACAACTGAGTCCCTTTCCCCGCCACCCAATAAACAACCAAAGAACCAAATACGAGTTTTATTTAAGGTTTCAGTTGAAACATCACCAAAGGCTCTTACCAAAGGCCAGAAAATGGCGTTAAGGCTTACACCATCTCCAGTGTCCACTTGCACTCGTGGAAAACCCAGACTCACTACACTTTTCAACTCAAGATCCAAATTTTCCTTTCAATTTCGTCCAAAATCCTTCAGAATCTTGGAGTTGGAATCTAGAAAGATGAGTTTAAAGGTGAATGCTTGCCAGAAATTGGATGAGAAGATCGTATCAGAAAAGGGTAGTCAGTGGGGAAAAGTGTCGGCGGTGTTGTTTGATATGGATGGAGTGCTTTGCAATAGTGAAGAACCTTCAAGAAGAGCGGCTGTGGATGTTTTTGCTGAAATGGGTGTTCAAGTTACTGTTGATGACTTTGTGCCGTTCATGGGCATGGGTAAAATTCCTTTTCTTGGACACTCTCTTTATTAATTATTACATTCTTTTCATTTATTTGCGTTCTACGGTGTACTAATTCAGGGTACTGGTGGAGTTCATTGTTGAATCATTTTTTTTTCATATGTCTGGAAACAATTAGCCGACCCCAACAAGTTTGTGATAGAGAAGTAGTTTCTTGATTGATATGTCTGGGAACAAGACAATTTTCTAAAAAAAAAAGAGAGACATATTTTGTGTGACTTCCCTTATCTGCTTTGGATATCATGTCTTAAGTTAGGTTAAAGCACAAAGCATTAGTCCCTCACTTTTAAGTTGGTAAATCTCTGTGCAGAAAGCAATTGTTCAGTGCTACAGTCAGATTGCCTCATTATATCCTTATCTCAGCAATTCGTCATTTTCTTTAAAGCCATGCCAATGACTTTGGTGACGTAATGATTAGGTCCTCTTCGGGGAACTTTGTTATGTAAGAAATAAGAGCACCCTCATCTATCTCATTTGAATATCTGTTTTTTGTGAAGCTTCATCTCTAACACTTGCGTTACATAGTCATTCCTTTTCTCTGTCAGAACTTCTTCTTGTTGTGAATCATTATCAAGTTAATTGCCATCGGATCCAAATACACCGGCTAAACTTTTTTTTTTCCAGTACTCATTTTTCGACCCCCAAGTAACGGACACATAAAAAAATTGATGTAATGTTACTATCCTTTAGGAAAGCAAATTTTGAGTGTATGACACCTTTTTTCCTTTGCCATCTTTTGTCAATAACCTCTTCTCTTTTTCACTTTCCGTTGTCCTCGAAATAAATCAGGTGAAGCATACTTCTTAGGTGGTGTTGCTTCTGCTAAGGGTGTTGAAGGATTTGATCCCAATGCTGCAAAGAAGAGGTTTTTTGAGATATATCTATCAAAGGTGATTGAAATTCTCATATTATTAAAAAATATCTACTTTTTTTTTGATAAGGTTAAGAATATCTACTCTTAAAGCACTTTCCTTTTAGACATAGTAACTGACACCAAAACTGACAATCATTTGTAGTATGCAAAACCGAATTCTGGCATAGGTTTCCCTGGTGCTTATGAACTTGTCTCTCAGGTATGTGACCTGTGTTGCAACTTGGCTCTATGTTCTTTCTCTTTCTTCTTTACTGCTTTTCATTAATTTGGTGATATGGTACAACAGTGTAAAAGCAATGGTCTCAAAGTTGCTGTTGCATCTAGTGCTGATAGGATTAAAGTTGATGCAAACTTGGCTGCGGCAGGTTTACCAATAACGATGTGAGTTAACGTAATGCGCTTTAGCTGTGAATAGTAGCCTCTCATTCTTTCTATAACCAGCATACAAGAGACACTGAATTGTACTGAATGAACACATGGTGAAAACTTCATTATAGTTGAAATTATCAGTATAGATATATTTTATTGCTGCATGCTACCTGATATCTATTCCTGAAATGCTTGGCTTTGTGAGTATAACTGCTGTTGTGGAATTGCTGGACATAAACTGTTTGTTGAGACAATGAATCCTTTAGTAGTGGAATCAGGAGCTCAGACTCCAAAAAAGGTAAATATGCTTGGATCTGCGGATGTAGCGATTTCTGTGACTATTTTATTGTTCTATATCATGATTACTCTTAACTTTAAAATTGCTTCATAAGTTCGACTTGTCTGTTAGTAGTAATTTCTTGGTTGTCTGTATTTAGGAGTTTATATCTGGTTGTTAATCTTATCAGATAGATACCTGGTAGATGGTCCTAGCTCTAAGACAAAAGTATCAAAAGAGCTGTATGTCTGGGCACATAGTAGTGTACATGCATTTGTATGTATGCAAACACATGATCTATGAGTTGGTTGGTAACACAGTTTGGAAGAACATAGAACTTTATTGCGGTTTAAAAGTGAAAGCGTACACTTGTGATGAGAATGGCGGGTTTGCAGTGAAATAATTGAAAGTTTCCTCGCCTTTATCTTTAATTATCTTTTAATTTATATGTGACCTCATTTCCTGTTTCTTTCATTGACAGGTTTGATGCAATTGTATCTGCTGATGCTTTTGAAAATTTGAAGCCTGCTCCTGATATTTTCTTGGCTGCATCACGGATTCTTGATGTTCCCACTAGTGAGGTAGTTTCCAGAATGTGCAATGCTGTTTCGCTGCCACCCATCACAATTTTTTGTAGACACTTAGCTCTGGGTAGTATGTGATGATAACCTGATGAAAAACTTCTAGTCGCTTGAGATATTACCAATTTCTGCATTCACATTTTGTTTAAGCTAGACTTCCCTACATTGTTATCCACCTATGCCTGTAATCAGATGAAGCTTGCTGGAAAACACAATACAAGCAAAAAAGATAATGAGAAACTTGATAAGTATGTTCTTATTTTGTATGTTGAAAATTAAAATTTCTGGACAGAAAGAGATGCTTAATTGTCAAACGTTCTGTCAGTGAGAACAGTTTTTCTAATTTTGGATACATCATTTTCTTTATAAAATAATGATGGTGCATTATGAATTGCTGAAGGTTTATCATCCGAGGCTAATGAGTCTTGATGTGTTAAGCAGATAAGCATTCTTTTTGTCAATCTTGGTAGACATTATCATAATCCTCTATGTTGACAGTGTATTGTGATTGAAGATGCATTAGCTGGAGTACAAGCTGCCAAAGCTGCGAAAATGAGGTAATTTGCAATCGAGTGCCTTTTCCTTTTATTTATATAATTGGACTACATACACTCGTTCAAACTTGTTGGTAACCCTGACCCTACTCCTCTTAGAATCCCTAGAAGAATAGAAAGGGGGCTTTTTTTTTTTTTTTACTCAACTTGTAAATATTAAGTGCTGTCTTGGTGTTGAATTTTCTTAATATAGTTACCCTTCTCTCTAAAAAGGTAACACCGACCGTACCTGAACTTTCCTCTTCAACTGAATCAATGAGTTGTATCAACATCATTCTAATTTTCCCACTTTGGTTCTCGTTTTGGTGACCATTTTGATTCCATTTCTTCTACATTCTTAAGTTTGTTGACCTACTTACAGATGTATCGCTGTGACGACAACTCTGTCAGAAGATACTCTTAAAGCAGCGGAGCCAACACTCATCAGAAAGGAGATAAGCAATATATCAATTGAAGATATCCTCAATGGTGGTGGCTCTGGTAGCCATAGTATGTAGTTCGCCAACATGTTAAGAACTGCCCTTTTCATGTAACATTGACAAATGTAGAATACTGAAGCTCTTGTGTGTCACTATGAAAAAAACTTGCGAATAAGCTATTTCTTGTATTGACTCAATTATTATTTGAAGGATTTCCTGTTCTCTGCTCCCTTAAGCTGTATGCTTTAGCTGCTAACTATTGTCTTTTACTTAGTTGATGGAAAGCTGCTGGTTCTGATGTTTCTCTAGCATATCCTTTGTGGTTAATAGTGGCTTCCTTTCTATGCTTACTATATAATGTATCTTATGATGACAAACATTGCAGATGTGATGGTGCAGGAATCCCAATCCATTATTGATCTAGCTGTCTCTTCCCCTGAATCCAATAGGACAGAGAGTATTGCAGATAATTATCCAACCAGTGGTGCTGTATCTTCAGTTGGAGGGTAAGAGTGATTCAATATCTTGATCATCAAAATGAGATCATCTTTGTCATCATGGCCACTTTTCATATCTAATACCTCGAATTGCTGTATTCATTTGTAGCTTCATATTTTTTTTTCTCTTTCCCTTTTTTCCCCTTCTAAGATTCTTTTCTTAAACTTTACCTGGAGTAAGTCGAATTGCTAAGAACAATGCATACTGGCAATATCCTTATCAACCTATTCTAACCTGATGTATAATCACTGAGTTACATGCTTTATTTTGCTGCATGTAGGATCAAATATGCTTAGAGAGTGACATGAATAATGCTCATACAAATGAAATTCTCTCGTTTGCAAAGTGGGATACTTTTGTCCCCAAAAAGGGTCCATTTCATGATGCTTTACGAGATGGCCATTTAGGGCATTTGGTATAATGTTGTCGTGAGGTTGCAGAAATAATTTGTCGACAGGGTGCAGGTTACGAGACGCGATGTTGTTAGATATGGAAGTTTAGGAATTGCTGCATCCTGTCTGCTCTTCACCATTACAAACTGGAAGGTATAAAACTTAAAGAAAGCAGGGTGTAGGAGAAAGAAAGTGAAGGCTTCCTTATAATTTACTTTGTTCATCTTTGCAAGCTTTACTGTTCCCATGCAGGCAATGCAGTATGCATCTCCAAAAGCTATCTGGAACTTGTTATTTGGCACAGGCAGTCCTCCTTTTGAACAGAAAGAAGGTCTTCCTCTTACGATGCAATATTTGTTATCTTCTCTTTATTTTCATTCTTCCATTCTTCTTGCTGTAGAAAACTTCTCTCAATAGCACCATCTTTTCTCTTATTTTTGTGCATTTCCAATATGGCTTCTATCCATTTTGTAGATGAAGCATGGGCTACTTCTTTTTCCTTTCTTTTTTTCCTTTTCTTTCTTGCAATAGATAATGGAAGGAGATTATTTTTTATTGTCTGTTGCCACTGCAGATGCATCCCGTTCGCAGAGGATTCAACAATTTGTAGACTATATTTCTGATGTGGACGCCAGGTAAACATAGGGTTTTATGTATTTTGAAGCGTAATTTTAGTTTTACAGATTTCCTACATTATGAAATTACTATCATTTATGTTGCATGTATTCTGGCATCTTGTGAATCCTTACATCTTGATATACTTCTCTTTAATTGATCGTGGATTCTTGACTTATTTTATCATGTTTAATATTCTGCATTTTGTTAGGAAATCTACGGCTATTGTGCCTGAGTTTCCATCGAAACTTGATTGGCTGAATACAGCCTCCCTTCAGCTACGCAGGGTAAATACATAATTCCATCTTTAAATTCTGCTTCTTCTGGCAAATTTATTTCTTTTTCTTATGACTTATTTTTCTTTTGTGCATATTCATGTTCTTTTGTCATTCTCCAGTCCTGATGCAAAAATTCTTCTGGAAACTTTTTGGTATCTACTGCTATCAGTTTTGAAATTGTCTCAATGACGTTTTCTATTGACTACATGTGTACATAAAATTCTTGAAACTTGTAGAGAAATTCCTCCCAAATATAATAGTGTTGCTTCACAATATGTTGTATTATTTTAATGGATTACCATATTATCCTTTTGAGATAATGTAAAGGATGTTCTGACTAGGGCATTGGTTACAAAAAGCTTTTGGTGACAACCATGAATACCTTTTTTCTAACGGTGGTGTTCGGGCCAGCTCGTGCGCGCCTCGACTATTCCACCGGGTACCTACTACCTCCCACCAACACATGTACCGGATAACTCTGACCTCGCCCCTTAAGGCTTAGGCAGATGTGAGACAACCATGAATACCTATTATACCATTATGAATTTGAAAATATCTATTCTGCTGAATAGTACTTTAAATCTTATTGTTTCTTGGAGGTATGTTTCTAAGTTGCATATATTCACCAGGAAATGGAAAAAGGAGGAATTCTGGATGATATATCCATGCTATTACTATGCACCTGTTCCCTGAAACATTTCTATGTTTGCGCAGGATTTGAAAGGAAAAGTGGTTCTTTTGGACTTCTGGACTTACTGCTGCATTAACTGTATGCATGTACTGCCAGATCTGGAGTTTCTGGAAAGAAAATATAAAGATATGCCTGTAAGATTGTCTTTCACCCTTTCACCTTTAGGGTTTCAGTTTCAGCTTTATTGAAATGTTATTCTGTCTACTACAAGTTGATCGTCTGAGAATAGGCATGAAATGAGTTTTGCAGATTGCTAGTGCTGTCAAAGAAGAAGGAGCTTTAGTAGCTTTTAGCTTTTAATTGGGCTAATTTATTAGCTTTCTGAGTTAATACTGACGGTCAAACCAATACAGGGCATGCGTAAAACACAAAGAAATAAAGAACCTGAAACTAATAAAGATAGCACGACCTCAAATAATTGCTAGTCTCATATGCGTGAAATGAACATAAGATAATTGTTCTTCTCATGCCCCTTTCATAAAAGAATTTTTTTTAAAGAGGAAGCCAATATTGCTTATCCAAAAAAGAGGAGAAGAATCTAATATTGGTTATCAATTTAGTACTTCTTATCCACAGATGCCTCTGAAGGTTTGCATACACACTTCTAAATCGCAGTAGCTGATTCATCAAACATTAGTTTTGCAGTTTGTGGTTGTGGGGGTGCATTCGGCAAAGTTTGATAACGAGAAGGACCTTGAAGCCATCCGCAGTGCTGTATTGCGCTATGGAATTACTCATCCAGTAAGTAGTTATTCATGAGCTGGAGTATTACTGATTTTATGTGTGATGATTCTTTCCAATAAGAACAACCTGCTTGGGTCTTGAATCTATTAGATGCCCAAGAAATGACATGAACATTTTTTTTAGATGGAAATTAATTTTTTTTGAGATGGAAGAAATGACATGAACATTTGAAACAATATTAATGTGCACAAAATTTAAAGCATCCTCATTCTGCTTATTATTGGAAAACCTGGGTTTTCAGTTAGTACTTTTGGTACCTTCTCCAGTGGGCCCAAGAATTTGTTTCTTCTAACTAGAACATAAAGGACACCAGATGAACTGTAATATGATTGTTGACCATGAGATCCTAATAACCAACTTGCACAAACTTTGGCTAGGATATGATTACAAAGTACTCTAAGATGCAAGCTAATTCAACCAAATGAATCAGTGGTAGAATTTTGGTTTGCCTTCTGTAACATTTAAGTAATGGCAATCACGTCTAAATTAGGTATATTGATTCTTCTAAATGATATTGACACATTTATTAGTCAAGAGCCTTTTAGAACCTCTTCTCTGCCAAGAAACCACTTCCCCTATATTACGTTATATATTACTCCTTTTTGGTAGATTAAGATAGAATCAGCGCTGCTATCTACACCATGCTTGGGTATGTTAAGATTGCCTTTCCAATTATTGTACATTGTCTTGGCAACCTCTCCCACCCTTTCCTCCATTTTCTAATCCAAAGGAACCTTCTGAGCCTTGGGGACTCCATAAATTCTACAGCAGGGAGTACATGCTAATTCATTGTTAATGATTAAGGATTGTCTAACAATTTATATAACTCATTTTTCCAATTGAAGCTTTTTTTTTTTTTTTTTTTTGAAGTAAGATGTTATATTAACAAAAGCATCAAGAAGATGCATAGTTACAAAAGTTGAGGTGCNAGAAGATAGCATAGTTTACAAAAGTTGAGGTGCAAAAATGAAAGAAAAACTAGTCCCTTTACAGTATGTCAATCTAAGACAAGGGAGCTAACAAAGTCCAAAAGATGAGTAGAACTAGTTATAGTAGCTAACTTAATCCAACAAAAAAGATTGAGTAGGCATCTAGCTTTGAGAGAGTGATTTGGAGTTGAGATCCCATCAAAGCATCTACTATTCCTCTCATTCCACAAACACCAAAAAATAACTGCAGGGATCATCAACCAGATCTTCTTGATGGTCTTATCAACTCTCCATCGACTCCAGCTCAGGTGTGCCTGTTTTATGTTTTGTGGCATAACCCATTTGAGGCCAAAAATACAAAAAAACATGGTCCAAAGGTCAGTGGCCACTGGGCAATGCAAAAACAGATGGCTAACTGTTCTCCTTGCACATATAACATCTATTGACCAACTGAAGGCCTCTCCTGTTGAGATTGTCTTGTGTCAAGCAAGCTTCATGGAGAACAATCGTCAAAGCAAATTACTTTAATAGGCAGCTTAGTTTTCCATATTAATTTCCATGGCCATGCATCGATCACTTGGTTTTGAGAACATAGCTGCCTGTAACATTCTCACACTGAGAAAGTGCCCTTACTCCCCCAACAAATGGTGTCTGGTGTACTTGCATTCATGTTGAACCTTTCCACTCTGGCAAGTAATTCTATCAAGTTGTCCACTTCCCAATCTTGCACTGCTCTTCTGAGATGAATATCCCAATTATTACCACTTCTGTTCTGAGCTATGGAGGAGTCTTTATCCAATGCAATCTGGAACAGGCTAGGGTATTCATCCATGAGTGTAATGTTGTTGAGCCATTTGTCTTTCCAGAATCTGATACGTGCTCCATTGCCTGCTTTGAAGTAGGATTCCTGGAAAAATTCATTCCCAAGTTTCCTGATGTACTTCCAAGGGCCCACTCCATAAGGTGCATTAGAGATTTTGGTGCTCCAATTGTCTTTTTTCCCATGCTTTGNTTCCATTTCTTACTAGGAGCATGGGTAAAGGGTTTTACATTGTAATTGGAAATTGCATCATTGAGGTCCTCTCTGCAACTGCTTAACTTTTTTTTTGATGAAGTAAGATGTTATATTAACAAAAGCATCAAGAAGATGCATAGTTACAAAAGTTGAGGTGCAAAAATGAAAGAAAAACTAGTCCCTTTACAGTATGTCAATCTAAGACAAGGGAGCTAACAAAGTCCAAAAGATGAGCAGAACTAGTTACAGTAGCTAACTTAATCCAACAAAAAAGATTGAGTAGGCATCTAGCTTTGAGAGAGTGATTTGGAGTTGAGATCCCATCAAAGCATCTACTATTCTTCTCATTCCACAAACACCAAAAAATAACTGCAGGGATCATCAACCAGATCTTCTTGATGGTCTTATCAATTCTCCATCGACTCCAGCTCAGGTGTGCCTGTTTTATGTTTTGTGGCATAACCCATTTGAGGCCAAAAATACAAAAAAACATGTTCCAAAGATCAGTTGTTTTGTGGAAACTGCTTAACTTTTAGTGGGATTAAATTACTTCATAAGATATTTGGTATGTCATGGTGGAGCCCGTTATATATGTAGCATTGACACTGAGACAAATGACAGGCACAATTTGTTGCTGGATATATCCAATACATATGTCACTGCCATATCCAAAGCATATCCAATATATTGCATATAGAATATCTTATGCTTTNACTTAATGAGATGAAACCTGTGAGTGCTGTTGTTCCCTTCCCATAGAAAGTCCCTCCTGATTTTATCTAATTGCTTTAACACCTTTTTAGGGATAGGAAACAGTGACATGTAATAAGTTGGAATGCTGTCAAGCACACTATTGATAAGAGTTAGTCTTCCTCCCATTGAGAGGTATTGCAATTGCCATGATGCTAACCTCTTTTCAAACTTTTCAATAATCCTACTCCATATCTCACAACTTTTGAATTTGGCACCCAGTGGAAGGTCAAGTATGTGGTAGGCAAGGACCCAATACTGCAACCCATAATACCTGCTAATTCCTCAATGTTAGATACATGGTTGACAGGATAAATGATACTTTTCAGCGCATTGACATGTAGCTCAGAAAGAGCTTCGAATAGGAGGAAAGCCAGATTTAGGTACATAAGTTGTGACTTATCAGCCTCACAAAAGATTAGAGTATCATCTGCATACAACAGATGAGAAACAGAGACTGAACTCCCAATGTCTGCCCCTACTCTGAAGCCCTGAATCCATTGTAGTTCTCTGGCCTTCTCAAGCATTTTGCTTAAACCTTCCATGGCAAGTATAAATAGAAATGGGGAGAGAGGGTCTCCCTGCCTGATCCCTTTCTGAGGTGAGAAGAAACCCACAGGTTCTCTGTTGACCAACACTGAATATTTGACTGTTGTGATGCAGAATCTGATCCACCTTATCCATTTGTCACCAAAACCCATCTTCCTTAGAATAGAAAGTAGATAGGACCAATTCAGCTTGTCAAAAGCTTTTTCAATATCGAGTTTGCATATAATGCCAGGCTCCCCCGATTTAAGCCTCCAATCTAGAGCCTCATTGGCTATAAGTGAAGCATCAGTTATCTGCCTGTGCTTAATGAAAGCATTTTGGTGGCTGGAGACTAGTTTGCCAATAACATTCTTCAATCTTTCTGCTAGTAGCTTGGCCACAATCTTATAGACACTACCAATCAGACTTATTGGTCTGAAGTCTCTAAGTTCAATAGCCCCTTTTTTTTTTGGTATCAAGGCAATAAAGGAGGCATTACATGATCTCACCATATAGCATTGCTGATGAAAGTGATTGAGTGCCCCCATCACTTCTGGCTTGATAAACTCCCATGTTCTTTGAAAGAAAGCCATAGTGAAACCATCTGGTCCTGGAGCCTTATCTGAGGAACATGAATTAATGGTTTCATGCACTTCTTCTTCGTCAAAAGCTTTCTCTAACAACTCCCTGTCCTCTTCTGCTAGTCTAGCTACTTCATCAAAATTGGCAGTAGGTCTTCACACTTCGTTTTCTGTATACAGATTCTGTAGAAGTTCAAGATCTCCTCTTTAATCTGTGTTTTGTCTTCTGTTATTTCATCATTCACTTTGAGCTTGTCAATATTGTTGACTCTTCTGTGTGAGTTGGCTATGGAATGGAATTATTTGGTGTTCCTGTCCCCCTCTTTCAACCACTGGCATCTTGACTTTTGTCTCCATGATGTTTCTTCAGCTTTGGCCAGTTCCTCCAGCTCCACTTGCAAACTCAAAATCTTCTGCTTTTCAGCCTGCATTGGAATTCTGCCTTCTGTAGCCTGTTCTAAAACTGCAAGTTCCTCAAGAGCCTTGCTTCTTCTTACTTCCAGCTTGCCATAAACTTCTTTATTCCAGTTGGAGATGTCTTTTTTCAAGTTTCTCAACTTCTGAATGAGAATAAAATCAGGGCTGCCACCTATAGTGTAGTTCTGCCACCACCCTTTCACCATAACAATGAACCCCTCTTGTTGCAACCACATATTCTCAAACTTGAAGTAGGAGTGGGCTGCCTCCCATTCTCCACATTCCAATTGAAGCTTTTGTTCATACCTGAAGTTTATAATTCAGGTTTGAAATTCTGGTGAATAGGGTAATTTGAAATTTGACATTGTTATCATGTCAAAAATATCACCTTTTATTTTTAATTGATTCTATCTTTCTAGTCTACTCATTTCCTTTTTCTAAAGAAAATTCTCTGCTTCCATTAGTACAGTCCCTTAGGGGGTTAGTCTTAGGATTGAGGGATTATATGTTGTATTTAATAGCAGGCAATGGATTTTTAATTAATTGATTCTTTTGAATGATCAGGTTGTTAATGATGGAGAAATGAATTTATGGCGGGAATTAGGTGTAAATTCATGGCCGACGTTTGCTCTTGTCGGGCCAAATGGCAAACTCTTGGCACAAATAGCTGGTGAAGGTCATAGAAAGGTTATTTATGGATTTCCTTTTTCTTTTATTTCATGCAATAGTAGTGTATATACTGGAATTATCTAACACATTCACGATGAGATAATGGAAAATGGTTCACTTATTAACTTGACAACTGATATAATACACTCAATTCTTGAACGACTTTCAAAGTGAATTGTGAAAGAAAACTTCTGAGATAATATGCTGCGCTTCGCTCTCTTCAAATCTCCTGTTATCTAATGTGCAACTTCATGGAAGACATTCTTATGGAAGCTACATATGGAGTTTCTCCCTTTTCCCTATCTTCTCTAGCTATTTTATGCCTTGAAACTTCCTTCAGATGATATAATTTGTAACAGAGAGTTTCTTTTGCTGTTTGATTATTGCTAATGGCCTCTTACATATTTCTTTTTAATCAATGTGGTCTCCGGCTATTGATAGTGAAAATTATTGACAAGAACTAGCTGTCATTTCGATTTTTTTTGCTTTGGCTTGTAGGATCTTGATTATTTAGTCGAGGCTGCTCTTCTGTTCTATGGTAGGAAGAAGCTCTTGGATAGCACACCCATTCCCTTGCGCTTGGAGAAAGATAATGATCCCCGCTTATTAACATCTCCTTTAAAGTTCCCTGGTAAGCTGGCAGTTGATATCCTCAACAACCGGCTATTTATTTCAGACAGCAATCATAACCGAATAGTAGGTTCTTCCTATCTCTCCTCTCTATCTTTCTCTCTGTATGGTTATTTTATTATTTTGAGAATTTTCAAATGCGTGAACTGCAGAAAGTGGTTGGTGTCTGTAGCATCAAGTTGTTATGATTACTCTTTTCGGGGTATGCTGCTTTTTTGAAGTTATGAACTGACCATGGGGTTATTGAACAATATCAAGCTTGAGGTTCAAAATGCATTGATGATAGTTAATAAAACGAGATATTTCTAACACTTGGATTGCAGGAGTTTCCAATTCCATATTTACTGTTGGAAATGAGAATTTAAAGAGGAATATCTTTTTTAAATATTTAAAGGTAGAATATTGATATCAGCAACAAGTGCTGTAAAATATTTACAAGAGGAAGCTACAGAAAATTAAAAGAGGAAAGTATGATGAAAAGTTTAGGTCTATGCCAAGATAAGATCAATCTTTATATATTTAGTTGAGAAGACGGGATAATATTGCTAAAGTGAGTGTATAGTAATGGTAATATGGAAATTTGGGTGATGTCAAACTGGAATATAAAAAATAAGGTTGAGAGATTTAGCAGTCTCCTCTTTATCTAAATTTGGTGATGGAAGAACAAAGAATTAAGATTGGAAGCTGCTAGGGATGTCCTGTACCCCAGTGATATGATGCAGAGTGCTGAAACTTACTCTCTCCCTGCTAGAGAAATAACAGCTTCTGGCATACATCATCCAGGGAAACAATTCAAAATGGAAAACCTGAAATTTGCACAGGAAGCAAGCATTAAATGGAAAGAATATGTTAGAATGAAAATTCACGAGGAAGATAGAAAAAATGCTAGGGGAGGATAAGGAAGGGTTTGCATGTTATGTGTGTAACTGTTGTAGATTTTGTTTCTTACACTTCTGCTTTTCTTACAGAACTTGTTCATTTTTTGTTGGGGACTCAGAAGTTGATTAGGAAATTGTGTTTCCTTCTATATACGTTCTGGTTCTTCTTTGCTCTCTTCTAGGAAATATTTTCATTCTATTACATTACACTTCCTTTCTTACTCCATCCCAGTCTCACAAATGAGGCCCTAATTTTCTTCTGATACTTCTTCCCATAATCAGAACTTTCCCGCATGTCCCGTACTGTCTGAGTGACCTGCATTACCCTTATGATCATACTATTGTTAGTTGCCTTCCTCTTTTCCACTTTCTCCTTGCGAGCTGAATGGTAGAATTAGTAATCCCGGACAATTTTCACATGTGAACAGGTAATAACTGATCTAGAAGGAAATTTTCTAGTCCAAGTTGGAAGCACAGGAGCAGAGGGTCTTCGTGACGGTAACTTTGATGATGCCACATTCAATCGGCCGCAGGTAATTGTAATAAATTTTTTGTTCTCTTAAAAAGTTGGATTGCTCACTTTTCCCATTTGCAAAGATCTCAGATCTTACATCTTATTATCTTTTATAGGGTCTGGCTTATAATGCGAAGAAAAACCTCTTATATGTGGCAGATACTGAAAACCATGCTTTAAGGTACTGGCAGAAGAGGCATGTCTGTTATTGGGCTAGACATATATGTTTTTACTTCTCATACAAATGACTGTCTCATCTATTGTTTATTTTATGGATTCTCCATTTCCATGCATATTTTCCTTCCATTAGATGCTTATGCCTTCATCTTGGAGAAGTTAAGGAGGATAAAATTGATGTTGTGGGTTTATTTATGCTGTTTATTACCGGGAAAAGCTTGGATTGACCAAAGGGTATATTGGAATCTAATCTGATCATTTTTGTTTGCATGAAGAAGTTTTTGCTCCTCAGTGATTATAAGAGAAAAACTGGACTTTTGTGATGGATTCAAAATGTGTTTTTGTCTTTCTTAAAATGGGAATTTTTTGCGCTATAATGGTATCCTTTGTCTCAGTTTACATGAAATAGTTTGATAATACATGGAGTTATGTTGATTTGAGTTACATATTTTTTTAGTCGTAATGGAATACAGGATGGTAAAGTAGTTGGCGAAAGGTAGTCTGAATGGAGAACATCATTGTTTCCATATCATATGCTAAATTTGATTTTCAGATGTATCCGAGTTCTTGATACTTGTGATAAAATTCATTGATCATTAGTTTAGAACGAATGTTTTGGAGCTTCAAAATAAAACTCTCGCTCAACATCGTCTGTCAAAAAAAAAAAATAGTTGGAATCAGTATTCTTCAACTGAAAATTACAACGGCAGAATCTAAATATTTCAATTTTTTGTAACTTTACTTGTTGATAACCATTCTGTACTTGTTAATGCGATACTCCTTTTCATTTAATTTTAAGTTTGGTTTTGACTAATCTATCTGTAGCCCACCCAAAAAGATACCAAGTGGCTAACCATTGGTACGTGGGAAACTTTGGCTTCACTAGGTTTTGAAGTTTATTGTGAGAATTGTGAGGCAACAGGTTCACTGTTTCATGTATTAGCTACTCACTCATTCTACGCATTAATGAAAATCCTCAGTTTACTCCATTTTATTCTGCTGGTGTACCAAAAATTTGTGTTTTTCAGCCCTATAGTTTCTGTTCAAATTCAAAAGATGTCTTTCAAACAGTTAGTAAGAACCAAATGCATATTTCTTGTTAACTCTTCTCGGTTAGCCATTAATCTAATGGATTAAAAGGTGTAGACAATTCTGATCGGCCATCGAAATGTTGGAATATGATTCTAAGGAGAGAAGTCTAAAGGCTTCTGATGCTGTTTGCTCATTAGATGAAACCATTTCATAGTTATTCAAGCCATTATCAGAGTTACTGTGATAAGTCATTCTAAAAACTTTTTAACGCATTGAACATACCTCCCCCATTTCAATGTAGCATTGATAACATGAGGTTAAATATTCTGTTTCCCAATTTTTGTATTTTTGACAGATGAAAGTTGTCCCTTCAATTTTCGTTTTTAGTTGGCATGATGTGCTTATAGTTTTTTATGAGATTACAACTTTGTTCTTTGCCTGGAAAATTTGATGAATCTTTCAGTTTTAACAACATATTGAGTTTTACATCTGTAGGGTCATTGACTTTGTGAATGAGACAGTGCGGACCCTTGCTGGAAATGGAACAAAAGGTTCTGATTATGAAGGAGGAGGAACTGGAACTGCACAGGCAAGATCGGATCAAATTTATGATGTCTGGAAACTTGTAAATAAATAATATCTTGGTGATAAAACTGGTGCCAGTTAGCTCAAGTTTATTCCCATGATGATGTAGTGGCGTTCTCTAATCCAATCTTTCTCTTAGATCAGTTTCAAATACAGTCTGGTCAATCATCCTTTTTTCTTTGTAACTGAACATCTTTGGTCATGTTTTCAGCTTCTCAACTCTCCCTGGGATGTCTGTTTTGAACCTGAGAACGGAATTATTTACATTGCAATGGCCGGTCAGCATCAGATCTGGGTGCACGAGACATCAGATGGAGTTACAAGAGCTTTCAGTGGGAATGGTTTTGAGAGAAATCAGAATGGTTCAAGGTAATATTCTTTTTTTCTGCGTGTATTTTAGGTTAAGCGGAGTTGCAGCAGAATGCTGATCATTTGTGCTAGTTGTTTATTTGAGGATGAAGTGTAGCTGATTGATTGATTATTGATTTATCATCTGTTGGAGTCCTGTCACATTTTCTTTTGAGGTGTTTTCTATTTTAAACTACTTTCCAAGCCCTTTTGAAGAAAAGGTACCTTTTCCTCTTTCTGATAAAAAAAAAGAGAGAGATCCATATGTTAATCTAGAGCGAGAAAAAGCCAACTGAGAATAGGATCTTTCACTGATTAACAAATAAAGACCAAAAACGAGCAGAAATTCGTGATCTTTTATTCATTGCTTTGCATATGCATTGTAATCCTATCGGTGTATTCACTTTCTAGGACCACATGGATATGTTTCTTCTTTTTGATGAATAGCCTGAGTAGGCTTTTCCTAAATTTCTCTCATTTTTTTGGAAACAGAAAGAGTTTTATGGAATGAGCTTTTGGAGTGGTATACGCAAAGATAGGACTAGTTGTCAAAGTACATGTGAATTTAGCTGGGTTGGCATTTAAACCTCAATTGTTTCTGAAAGTTCCCATTATAAATGTGGAGCCAATTTCCTCTGGACTTCCAAATTTATCGTTTAACTTGTATGTTTGAACGTGAAGAGTACAAGAAACATCTTTCTCTAAGCAAGAACACACACCTCCTTTTTGGTCTTGATATGTGCTCTGGATCTCTTACTAGTAAAAAATTGATTAGCTCTAGCTAATTTTTCTCTGTTGGCTACTTATGCTATAACTTCCTAGTAACATATGGTGAAAATAGTTGATCTCCATGAATCAGCAGGGGCTTGCAATCAAAAGCAAACAGGGAAACAATTTTGTAATTTAGAAAAAAGAACCCAGCTTTGTACCCTTAGTTTTTGAGTTTTGAGCTTCTCTCATTGTATGACTTGTCCTTGTATGTGCTAGTTGTGAGAACATCTCATATCATTTTCCACTCACTTTAGGCGAACTTGCTGAAATTCTTACTACTGTTATGTATCTTCTTCTTTCTTGGCATGGGAAAGCTCAACAAACACATCATTTGCACAACCTTCTGGGATTTCATTATCACGTGGTAATTCTCTTAACGAGTAATAGGTTGTTCTTATTTACTGGTATACTGTTTTTACCTTTTCCTTTGAAACCAATTGATTTACTTTTTTTTTTTTTGTAGATCTAAAGGAGGCATATATTGCTGATAGTGAGAGTAGCTCCATTCGGGCAGTTGATCTAAGAACTGGAGGTTCAAGATTACTGGCTGGTGGTGATTCAATAATGGCGGAAAATTTGTTTAGGGTATTTCTGTTTGAAGCCAAAAAATGAGATTTTGATTCTCTAGTATGCTTAAGTTACATTTGTGACACAAAAAAACTTGCTAAAGAAACATTTACCGGTGCAGTTCGGAGACCATGACGGAATAGGCTCTGAAGTTCTTCTTCAACATCCATTAGGTGTTTTATGTGGAAAGTCTGGCCTAATTTATATTGCAGATTCTTATAATCACAAGGTACTTAAAAAACAAACTTCTTGACAGTAAATACAAAATTTTATGACATCTATGATGTTTTACACGCTTCTCCTAGTAATATTATCTTATTTTACTTTCACTAGTTCAGAAGAAATGTAATTGCTTTATTAATTTAATTCTAACTATGATGTATATTTCTTTGTCAAACTATCTTCTCAATCACTACTTTAATATATGTTTCTACTATTATCAACGTATGATTCAAGTGGAGAAGACCAAACAGATATGCTTCTAGCAGATAGACCTCAAAAGGAAGAAACATTAAATGCAATTATTGATGGTATTATCAGATTTGGTTGCCTAACTGCATTCTTAATTTCGTTTTTGGTAGGAAGCCATGAATGTATGTGCGATAGTAAAAACATACTCTTCATTCCCCATCTCCCTTTAAATTGCTGTTATCCTTCTCTCTCTCTACCATCATCATAAGATCCTTCGATGGGCTTTGGCATGAATCACATATGGTTTTATTAACAACTGTCCATCAAATGAAAGAAGGAAGAAATAGGCCCTTGAGACCCCTTGCTCCTCTTTTTTTAAATACATAATCTGGAGAGTCTTGTTTCAAGTTATTTGGAGCTGACCAAAGCTCGTCATATTAACTTACACCTTTTTGGTCTAAAAAAATCTTTTTGGATGGGGTGGATCTGTGAAAAGTGGGGGAGGAGAAGATAGAAGAGGGAAGAGCCTTTGGTGAGATTGAAACCCGGGGGTGAAAGATTTAGTTGCAACGACTTGTCCATAACACTTGATAGGAGTGTTAAATAGTGTTGAGTTGTCCCACATCGGTGGGAGTTGAGGTCCTTGGTCTCCTTATATGGCTTGGGCAATCCTCACCTCACAAGCTAGCTTTTGGGGTTGAGTTAGGCCCAATGTCCATTCTTATCAAATAGCATTTTGACTTGCACTTAATATCAAGGTGACAGCATATGTCAACAATGATACAACATACAGTGTAGATTTCGGTTTCCTACTTTTGAATAAATATACGATTGAGATGTCAAAGCCAATAAATATAAGTATGCTTAACCCAAAATTGAGATGTGTAAATAAATTTTTATCTGCTGAAATTGTGGTGCCTGATGGCAGATATGAAGAACATAAGCGAAATATTAGGTTTCAAAAGTTTGTGGCCATATTGCTGCTTTAAGATGGCATATGTGGAGCTTCTTCTTTCAATCAGCTAGTGAGCTTGAATTGAGATATTTCATATGCTTCTAGTTGCTGTTTCAAGTTCAAAGAATCCATTTTCATATTTCATATGTAACTTATGATTCAACAATGAACTACTTGTTTTCATACTGTAACAGACACATCTCTATGTAAGTTGAAGCTTCTCTTTTTTGTTTAACTTGCCAGATTAAGAAACTAGATCCAGTTAGTAGAAGGGTGACTACATTAGCTGGTGTTGGTCAAGCTGGTTTCAAAGATGGAGCGGCAGTGGCAGCTCAGGTTGGAAAGAGTTCATATATCTTTTCTTACTTATATTGTGTCCTGGATACTAGTGCTACACTAATTGGCATTCATTGCACCCAAGCACATATTATGTCTACATAGACACTCGATAACATTAGCATGGAATTGAGTAACTAGTATCACCGCATAGACCATATTATTTCTCCAAAATGATGGACATAATAAGCTTCTGGCAGGTGAGCATTTTAAATCTTTAGCATTTTACTTGCTAAATCTGTGGTTGCATGTGTAAATAACCTCTTTAGTTATAAGGCCCTTTTTTGCTCAAAAAAGAAGAAGTTATAAGGCCGTTGTACAAGTGCAACATCCCTTCACCCCTTTTTCTGCCTTAGATTTCATATGAATCAGCAGTAGCATGTGGATCTATTGTCTTTGGCAACAGATGCTGATATTTCTGTTCTTTTTCCTCATCTTTTTCTTTGCTTATTTTCAAGTGGAGTAGTGGACTTGTATCTAATTCGTAAGGAGCAAGGAAAAGAAGAAACAAAAGAAATTTGTCATGGACCATTGCATTGTTTGACATGATCGAAACACTTTAGTAAGACCTACGAGTGCCGTTAGGTAATCCAGCAAGGATAAGTGTATCTGATACCTGTCCACTTAGGTCTCTGAAAGTTTTGGACATTTTATAAAGTATCCGAGTTTTTAGATGCCTGGAAAAAACTGTTACGCGGCGCCTTCCTGAGATTCCTTGGAAGGGCGACGTAAGGCTAGGCAACCGATGTCCGTGCAGTTGCTGTCCGCCAACTGAGGTCCCCTCCGTACGCTAGACGAGATTGTCAGTGCCGTACGGGAAAACCAATGTCAAGAGCAATTGAGAGAACAGAACTGAGAATTCAGAATGAAAGAAAGCTTGATTGCATTAATGAAAGCTATTACAGAAAAGCAACGCGGTGTCGAGGTCTGTACAAAAAATAAGTGTGAGAATGCACGGGAGAGAAATATTATTATTGATATTTGTTACTCAATATAATACAAGAGGTCCTATTTATAGCTATAGTCTACAAAGTACATATTACTTCCACTCTAATGTGGGACTATACATAACTAACACTCCCCCTCAAGCCGGTTCATACACATCATATGTACCGAGCTTGTTACACATGTAACTAATACGAGAACCAGTAAGAGACTTAGTGAAAATATCTGCTAGTTGATCATTCGACTTTACAAACTTTGTAACAATATCTCCTGAAAGTATTTTTTCTCTGACAAAGTGACAGTCGATCTCAATGTGTTTAGTCCTTTCATGGAACACCGGATTTGACGCAATATGAAGAGCAGCTTGGTTATCACACACCAGTTCCATCTTGCTGATTTCTCCGAACTTTAACTCCTTGAGCAATTGCTTGACCCAAACTAACTCACACGTTGCTATAGCCATGGCCGGATATTCGGCTTCGGCGCTAGATCGAGCAACTACTTTCTGTTTCTTGCTCTTCCAGGAGACCAAATTACCTCCTACTAGAACACAATATCCAGACGCCGAACGTCTATCAAAAGGGATCCTGCCCAATCAGCATCTGTGTACCAAACAATCTGCTCATGGCCTCGATCCTCGAATAGTAATCCTTTGCTTGGAACTGACTTTATATCGAAGAATGCGAACAACTGCATCCCAATGACTATCACATGGAGAATCCATAAACTGACTTACAATACTCACCGGAAAAGAAATGTCAGGTGTAGTCACTGTGAGGTAATTCAATTTGCCAACCAACCTCCTATATCTCGTGGGGTATCCAAGAGGCTCCCTTGTCCTGGCAGAAGCTTAGCATTCGGATCCATAGGAGAGTCAATAGGTATGCAACCCATCATTCCAGTCTCCTCAAGAATGTCTAAGGCATACTTGCGCTGTGAAATAACAATACCTGAGCTAGACTGAGCAGCCTCAATACCTACAAAATACTTCAATTTGCCCAGATCCTTAGTCTGGAAGTGCTTAAAGAGATGCTGCTTCAGATTAGTAATACCATCCTGATCATTGCCAGTAATAATAATATCATCAACATAAACCATCAAATAAATATACAGATTAGGAGCATAATGCCGATAAAACACAGAATGATCAGCCTCACTACGAGTCATGCCTAACTCGTGAGTAATTGTGTTGAACTTACCAAACCAAGCTCGAGGGGACTGTTTCAAACCATATAGTGACCTGCGCAATCTGCATACACAACCACTAAACTCCCACTGAGCAACAAAACCAGGTGGTTGCTCCATATAAACTTCCTCCTCAAGATCACCGTGGAGAAAAACATTCTTAATGTCTAACTGATAAAGAGGCCAATGACGTACAACAACCATGGACAAAAAGAGACGAACATATGCTACTTTAGCCACGGGTTAGAAAGTATCACTATAATCAGGCCCAAAAATCTGAGTATATCCTTTTGCAACAAGACGAGCCTTAAGCCGATCAACCTGCCTATCCGGGCCGACTTTGACTGCATAAACCCAACGACAACCAATAGTAGACTTACTTGCAGGAAGAGGAACAAGCTCCCAAGCGCCGCTCGCATATAAAGCAGACATCTCGTCAATCATAACCTGTCGCCATCCTGGACGAGATAATGCCTCACTTGTAGACTTAGGGATAGAAACAATGGACAAAGAAGATATAAAAGCATAATGAGGTGACGACAGACGATGATAACTTAAACCGACATAGTGGGGATTAGGATTAAGTGTGGATTGTACACCTTTGCGGAGTGCAATTGGTTGACTAAGAGGAGACAAGTCCGCAGTAGGTGTAGAATCTGAGGCAGGACGTGAATCACCTGGGCCTGATGCTGGATGTGGACGACGATGATAAGTCAAGAGGGGTGGAGCTGCAGAAGGTTTAACTGGATTATGTAAAGGAGCTGGAGCTATAGGTGGTGGAGCTACAACTGGAGCTGTAGGTGGTGGAACTGGAGCTATAGATGGTGGAGCTGGAGATCTAGAGGAAGATGAATGGGAGATAGTGACTGAATCTCCAAAAGATGAAACTGGTAGTACCTCAGAAATATCTAAGTGATTACCTGGACCTGTGAAGTATGATTGGGTTTCAAAGAAGGTAACATCAACGGACATAAGGTACCGCTGGAGGTCAGGAGAATAACATCAATACCCCTTTTGTGTTCTCGAGACCCAGAAATACGCACTTAAGAGCACGAGGAGCTAATTTATCTGTTCCTGGAGTAAGATTATGGACAAAACAAGTGCTTCCAAAGATACGGGGTGGAAGAGAGAACAAAGGTAAGTGGGAAAACATGACAGAGAATGGAACTTGGTTCTGGATAGCTGAAGATGACATACGATTAATAAGATAGCAAGATGTAAGAACTGCATCCCCCCAAAAACGCAACGGAGCATGAGATTGTATGAGTAGTGTACGAGCAGTTTCAATAAGATGTCTATTCTTTCTTTCAGCTACCCCATTTTGTTGAGATGCGTACGGACAAGATGTTTGATGAATAATCCCATGAAATTCCATAAACTGCTGAAATGGGGAAGACAAATACTCTTAGGCATTATCACTACGAAATGTGCGAATAGAAACCCCAAATTGATTTTGAATTTCAGCGTGGAAGGTCTGAAAAATAGAAAACAGCTCAGATCGATTTTTTATCAAAAATATCCAAGTGCACCTGGAATAATCATCAATGAAACTGACAAAGTAGCGGAACCCTAAGGTGGAACTGACCCGACTAGGACCCCAAACATCTGAATGGACTAAAGTAAAAGGTGACTCTGCTCGATTATCAAGACGCCGAGGGAAATGAGAGCGAGTATGCTTACCGAGCTGACAAGACTCACACTCTAGAGCTGACAAGTGAGATAAACAGGTACCATTTTCTGAAGTTTTGACAAACTGGGATGTCCAAACCGTTTATGTAATAAATCTGGTGAATCAGTAACAGGACAAGTTGTTGCAGGAAGACAAGATGTGAGTCTATGTGATTTAGCAATGATAAGATAATAAAGTCCATTTGATTCACACCCGGTACCAATGATCCGCCCCGTTCTGTGTTCCTGTATAAAGACATGGTCATCAAGAAATAAAACAGATCTCTGGAGATCTTGAATGGTGTTTTGGAGAGGTGTGAGAAAAAGCTTACAAAATGGAGAGGTCAATATCTATCCTTGGGAGGTAGACTAACCCTGATTAATAGTGTGTTAGATGCTTTGCCTACATACATGATGTCTTTGTTCCCAATTCCTGCAAAGGTAGAGAAGAGATTAGACAACTTAAGAAGGAGCTTTCTATGGCATGGGAATAAGGAAAAAGAAGGTTTCAATCTGGTTAGATGGAAAACTGTCACATTATGCAAGAAGGATGGAGGTCTTGGTATTCGAAATCTGAGGAAACACAATCAGAGTCTACTCATGAAATGGCTATGGAGATTCACCACAGAAGAAAATGCAGTTTGGAGACAGGTAATTAGCACCAAGTATGGGGAAGAGGGGCTATGGACAACTAAAAAGGTAACTACTCCTTATGGGGTGGGGGTGTGGAGATCTATTAGGAACCTATGGCCTGTCTTCAACAATGACAATGCTTTTAGGGTGGTAAATGGTATGAAGATCTTATTTTGGGAGGATAATTGGTTGGGACTGGGAGCTTTAAAGATTCTTTTTCCAGATATTTATATGCTAAGTCAACAACATGGATGTAAAATTGGAGAAGTTTGGACTCATCAAGGATGAACCTAACTTTTAGATGATTTTTTAATGATTGGGAAATTATGAGAATTATTAATTTCTATGAGGTGCTTGGACAGTTCAAGGGCACAGAACAAAGGGAAGACAGATTATGGAGGCAGGGCAACAGTCAGGGAATCTTCACAGTCAAAGCTACCTATGGGACTCTCAACAAAGCTCCCATTCAGCTAGAACTGTGGCCATGAAAACATATATGGAAAGTCAAAATCCCATACAAAGTGGCACGTTTCACGTGGTTAGTGATAAAAGAGGCGTTTTTAACTGAAGAAAATCTGATGAAGAGAGGCTTTCCTTTGTGTTCTAGATGCCATCTATGTGGCAAGAAGGCTGAGACCAACTGCCATCTATTTTTGCATTGTGAGGTTACCTCACAAATCTGGAATATTTTTTTGTGTATGAGGGATCTCTCCCGGGCAATGCCAAAAAGCTCCTTGGAATTGCTTAAATGCTGAAACAGGGGAGGTAGTCTTCCCAGACAGAAAAGCAGATGGAAGATGATACCACCATGCATTTGGTGGACTATCTGGACAGAAGGAAATCTAAGATGTTTTGAGGGTACAGGCAGCCCAATTCAGAAGATCAAGATGAATGCCCTTTTGTTATTTTATTTTTGATATAAAGAGGAATTTACAGTCAATACTAAATCTATCCTAGAGATTTTAGAATCCTTGTAAGTTGTATAGGATATATGTTTTTTTTCCTCTTTTCTTTCCACTTTCTCTCCTGTAAATTTGGCTTTGGCACAGCCTTAGTGCCCTGTTATATGAAAATTGTTACCATTCTAAAAAAAAAAGAAATAAAACAACGGATTTAAGTGATTTGGCTAAGCGACTAACAACTATGAGATTAAAAGGACTACTGGGAACATAAAGAACTGAATCTAAAGGTAAGAAGGAAGTGGACTTGCTTGACCTATTGCAGTTGCCATGGTTTGAGACCCATTGGCCATTGTGACTCTCAGAAGAGATTGAGAATACGAAATAGTAGTGAAAAGAGATTTGTTACCAGAAATATGATCCGATGCACCTGAATTAATAACCCAAGACTCAGAGGATGAAGATTGGGATACACAAGTCACGCTATTACCTGTTTGAACAACAGAAGCTATCTCAAAAGATGTCTGCTTACATGCTTTGTACCGAAGGAACTCAATATAATCCACCAAAGAAACCATCCGACTATTCAAAGTATCGGTTCCCATGTCGCTGCAATTTGTAGTAGTAGGTTTAACTTGAAATTGTGGAAATCAGTAACTCATGTGGGAAAACTGAAGAAATAGCTGGGAAAACACTGTTTACAGCAGAAAAACAGAACACTATTTTACGCCGAAAACACTGTTCACACCGGAAAACACTGTAGCTCGCCGAAAAATTGCAAAGTTGTCGGATTTTGTCGTAATCAGGATAATAGACTCGAAATTCTCTTGCGAGCAAGTTGCCCTAAGGAAATGTTTTCAAAAAGTGGCCGGAAAGGGCTCCACGCGCCGGCGCGTGGAGCAGATCTCGCCGGAATCTGTTTTCTTTTTCTGGCGCGTGACGGCGCGTGGGAAGGTATTTTCCGGTAGGGTTGACTGGGGTTTGGTCGCCTGAGCTTAAGGAGTCTTGTGATGGTGTTGGTTTTTGTACAACACAAACGGAAATTGATTTTGTTGCGGATAGCCTCTTAAGTCGCTGGAAAAATTGCACGGCGACGAGGTTTTTCTTCCCGGAAGTCGCTGGAATGATGCACATCGATAAGTTTCTCACTAATTCTCTGATACCATGTGAGAATGCACGGGAGAGAAATATTATTATTGATATTTGTTACTCAATATAATACAAGAGGTCCTATTTATAGCTATTGTCTACAAAGTACATATTACTCCCATTCCAATGTGATACATAACTAACAATAAGCATGAACTTGATCGATGTTAGAGTCTCATATTTAGGAAGGTCTTCGCGCTTTTTCTTCGAATGTAAGCACTGTAGCCAATCAATAAGAGCTACTTGTAGTGGTAGATATTTCCGAACAAGTTCCTGGATAACAAGCCAAAAGATTTTCTTTTTGATGAGATTGATATTGATGATAGTGACAACATAGAGGGATCAACGTGTAAACTTGAAGGGCTAGGAGACTCCTTTAGCTCAATAATGAAAGTTAGGGTCGATAGGAGGAGGTCTTACCTCTTAGATGACCCAAGCAAGTTATTAATTTATTGGATGGATCCTCCTAACTGTAGTTACAGGAGAATGGACATCAAATCCTTGGTATTAAAATGATGGAAATTTTGGCGCCATTCTGTTTGATTCTTTGCCTGCATAACAAATTTCTTTTGAATTTACTTTTATATGTAACTCTATGAAAGAAACAAGTTGATACTTGTAAAAATGTTAAGACTACAGTACTGCTAATTGTTCTCTCAAACTCTCTTCACTTGAAAGTATGTGCATTACTGTATTCAATTTGGTGGTTGAGGTAGGGGGTGAGGCTGTGTGGTGAATGCTGAACAGCTGAGGTTGTTTTGAATAAAGAGATAAAAGACTCCCCAACTACATGCAATAAGAAACTGACTTTGCTATTTCTGCAAAGAGCACCAATCATCTGCACTTATTGGACCTGAAACTTGCCCCAAGAGGTCACAAAAAGCATAAATGGTTCCTTGAATTGTACAATCCTACTTATCTACCTTTGTGTACTTCTTGTATATTGGAAGACTCCTTGCTATGATACATCAACAAAATTTTACCTTCTAAAAAAAGGGAATATCATTTTTTCTTAAGTTAAATACTATAGGATACTAGTTATGATTTGTCCCATTAAGCTTCACATTATCATGTTAGAGGGAGAATTTCTTTTTGATTCTTAAATCTGTCATTCTAAAATTGCTTTGTTTCTACTGTTAGTGGATCTCTGACTTGCAATTGCTCTTCTCTGTTTTATTTTTAAATTTTTCTTTTCCTGCAGTTCTCAGAGCCATCTGGAATCGTTGAAGCAGAAAATGGTACTCTCTTTTCTATGTGCTGCGATTTATTTGGTTGATTGCTCACTCTCCGAGTGGGCCATGAAACTTTGCAGGAATAAGAGACGTTACTAATCGCAATGAAATTAGTGGTCTATCCTCAAAAGTTTATTTTTCCACAATATCCTCAAAAAGTTGACCTCATGATTTAAAATAGCACTTTGACAAGTATTGCATTTTTGTTATGAAAAGCACTATTCTTGTTTTCCTTGTCATTTACAATATGTTCAGATGATATTACCTAATTGCTTCTTCCTTCAAGTTCAATTTAGTCAGGAGCTCTATCACGTTCAATTTTTGTAAACCCATCTTAAGCTGCACCAGCAAGAAACCGTAGGAGTGCTAGTTATGCATGCTAGTCGTTTATAATTGATCAAGCAGAAATTCTTGCTAAAGCATAAAGTTTAAAGTCTTTCCTTGTGTGGGAAGAGTTCTTTCTATGAAAGAAATCAAACTGTGGCACTGCTCAGTCCTTCTTGAACACGTCTGAAGTGTTCATTCCTGCATGAACACATTTTAACTGACCTCCTCCTCTCTTCCACATTTGTCCAAAGATCAGATGCAAATGTTTGGATGGGTGGGAGGGAGGGAGGTGCATACTGGGATTTTGGTGCATGAGAATTTGCACCTAAGGCGTATCACATCTCCTGACAGAGCGTGACTCCACTTATGTTCTAAAGAATATTGGTGTCAAACAAGGCAACTGTTTCCTATACCTCTTTGGTGTGTGAGTGAGCGACTGGGTATTGACAGCAGAAAAGGCCAAAGAGAAGAAACTTGGGAGAAAGGCTGGGATGAATAAACACTTTTGACCACTTGAGTATCAATTGCTTAAGATTCATAATACTTTTTACAATACATTCAATTGTTTGAGGAACTTTAGTCTCATTGACAAGTTGAACCAAGAAATTATATCCTGCGATGGTAATGGTATTCCAGATCTGAGATCCAAGTCTTGAGTTAGACCATACTTTCGATTTTAGTTCAGTTTTATGATTTTTCTTATCTGACCCTTGATAGACCTAAAGAAAGTTCTAGAACTGCATTGTGTGATACATACTGAATTTTGATCAGTAATCTGGAGCTAATTCATCATATCTTTTATTCAACTAATAGTAATTGTATGTATATTTGTATTCATTTTTGAAAAGGTGACAGCTGAAACTTGTGTTTGACTCTGTTCTATGTTATCTTTTTCAGGAAGATTGTACATAGCTGATACGAATAACAGTGTGATAAGATACTTAGACCTGAACAAGTCAGAAGTTGAAGTTCTTACTCTGGAGTTAAAAGGAGTGCAGCCACCACTTAAATCCAGATCTTTGAAGCGCCTTAGACGGCGTTCTGGAGCTGACTCACAGACTATTGTGGTTAATGGTGGTTCATCCAACGAGGGTACATTAAACTTAAGAATCTCGGTACCTGAAGGGTATCATTTCTCAAAGGTTCTCTTTCTCTCTTTCATGAATAAAAATTGTTTATGATGTCCTTTGCTTATTTGCGTTATGTAATTTGCTGCCTTCTACCAAAATGCAGGAAGCACAGAGTAAATTTAGCGTATATTTTGATCCAGATGCTGCTGCTGTTGTTGATTCCTTGGAGGGAAATCTCAGCCAAGAAGGTTCAGCAGTAGTGCACTTCAGAAGATCTTCTGCTTCAACATCCACCGGCAGAGTTTATTGCAAGGTACGGTTATGTATCTTTGAAGTTTGCTTTAATTCAGTCAAGTCTCTGGCTTGCATTTGCTTCCCTAAGCCATGGTTAGTGTATCTGTCGCCAATTTTATGAATAGAAGGTTTGTAGCTGATTATTATATTTCACGCAGACACCAGGCAATGTTTCAAGCAAAATGAAGCATCAGTTGGTTCAAATTTGACCTCTGTAGCATGTGCTTTGTCATTGACACTGGCTTGCTATATATGTTTTCTATTAGCAATTGTTAGTAACATCTCATGAAAAGGATAGTTATATACAGAAGCAATGCATGCCAATAGGATCAAACAATGTGGTTGTATGTGCGCCTCGCTATGACGATGTTATGTGAATTATCACTTTTCGAGCATTTTACAGTTAAATTTGCGTACGACTTTGAGACCTGTTACATATGAGCTAAATATTAAACAAGAACAGGATGCACTGTCTTATTTAAACTTGTAAAACCAATTTCAGGTATACTACTGCAAAGAAGATGAGGTTTGCTTGTACCAGTCTTTGACCTTTGAAGTACCATTTCAAGAGGTAAATCCAGATTCTGCCCCTGCCATGATCACTCTTCCCTTTGATGTGAAGCCAAAAACATCCCCAAGTAGCTTACAGATACCGGAGAAGTGATTCATTGATCACAAACTTGTTTATAGTTACACAGGTATCAATATTAAAATGTTTAGTTCGGTGTTTGCACTCTGTGATTACACTGAACTAAACATTTTAACCGTTAAGAGTTACTACAAAATATACGTATTATAGCTATGATTAATTGATAAATGGATGTATAAGAGTCACACGTCACTTATTTACTGGTTTTGGTTCAAACACCAGATGCAAATAAGAATTTGGGAGTCAATTTTTTGTGCTTTGCGATCAATTCAAGATAGAGTACCATCTCATCCTACAAAAAAATATTAGAATATATTTCAAAAGAGTTAGATATTCCTAATAGTGATTACTTTAATAATGTCATAATCAAAATCACGAGTCACGGGTTAACGACCAACATGATCATTAATTGCATGATAAGCAAAGGATAAAGGAAAGGGACTCACTCGTGTGCACTTGTCGTTTACTGGTCGGATGATGATTTTGCTGGCAGATGCTAATTTCAATTATTTGGGTTCAACGGATTTTAGATATATTTTTATTGTTCTAAAGACCTTTGGTTACTCTTTGATTTATCATATAGTAATATTGTTCCTTTTAGAAAGAAGAAGAAAAATTAGGAACGCGAAGAATAGCTTATATCCATATTATATTTGTTAATTGACAGCTTGCAACGCGTATTTTGATGCATATGCTACTCTTAAGTATGATTAAGTGAACATTCGTTTGTACCACTAATTGTATTCTTTGCACCACCCCATTTATTTTTAAAATTCAGGAGTTTTTTTTTAAGGCAGGACTATCAACCTAAATATTCGGTGGTTTTCTAGTTTTTATTATATTATTTATGTTTATATTTGTATTTGATCTGAAAGTGTGTGAAAACTAATTTTCTAAAAATAAACATGAATTGGTAGTTACGAATAGGAACTGTAATGAAGCTTAATAACCCGATAAACGAGAAAATGAAGTGCCCGTGACACCACGGACAAGGGGAGGAGTTTGTCTCTCAAATTCAAACACTATGAAAAACTAGTTTTCTAATCACAATTATAGAACAATTATCCATGTTATCTTGATACTCTAATTTTGTTCAAAACTTCAATTATGGTCAAAGAGTGCTCCAGAAATATCTCCATGTTCTTAAGAGCGCTGAAAGTACGCTAATTAATACTATTAATAAGTTGGTAGTATTATTTAGTAGCATAGGTATAATCTTCAAAAACACGAAAAGGTCAAAAGTTATGGATAAGTAAGAATATTAGCATGAAAGAATGATTAATTAGAGCAACAATTAAGAGAAGCATGTGGGAGTTGTTAAGCCATTCACCAGATGCAAGAAAAGTATAGATACCATCTCATGTAGGCTTTCTTGTGAAAGTGCTAGGAAATTTCTGCCTAATATATAGCATCATACAAGGCACTGAACATGATTAAAGAGAGGATCGATAGTATGCTCAAATTTTGGCTTGACAACTTTGAATTTTAAAGAAATTTTAAGACTACGTTCCTCGTTTTTGTTAAAGGGAAAAGTATGGCTGTCCAACGGGACGGGACAAAATTAACGGGACGACATTTAGCCGGGACGGTGGCGAGATGGAACGAAACGGTAGACCCATCCCATCCGCTAATAAACGGAATGAGACGGTTTCGCCGGGCCTTAAGTGGGCCGTTTTTTAAAAAAAAATAAAAAATTAAGCATCAAGTTTGGCAACTGCTAGTTTTTTGACAATGACTAAGTTTTTAAAGTTTGCAATGGCTAGTTTTTTGACTTATTTAATAAACTTAAAAGTTAAAACTTAATAAATTATAAGGAAATTAGGAAACTAAGTAAAGAATTATAAAACATTTTAAAAAAAGACTTGTAATGAAATATTCTAGTAATTATAATAGAGTTATAATTTATTTAATATAATTTCAAGCCATTAAGTAACTAAGTAAGAGTGTAAGACAATCTATAAAAAAAGTTCAACACTTTGAGCCTTTTATTTTATTAATAGAACTTTCAAATCTCACATACAAATATAATTCTTTTGAAGAGCACCTAATCTACGCAGACACCTTCTAGGAAGGGTTCTGTTTGAACTAGGCCTCTTAGTAGCCAATTACAAATTATCATACTAATATTTGTAAGCTCCTATATAGGTTCGTTGTAACTTATCAATAATTTCTCTCGGACATTGTTCTGGAATTGGCAATGTTAATTGATGTTCCATGAGTTTCATGCCATCATCGCTCCCAGCGTTAAGTATCTCATTGTATTCTTCTTCTTCCCTAGTGGTTAATTTTTCAAAATCAAGATTTCTTCTTTTGGAATTAATCCAATCTCTAAAATACGGAAATCTCTAGGCTGTCCTCCGCTAATGAATGTGCATGATCTCCGATTTGAAATCTTGCTGCGCTAAAAGCACTTTTCGATGCTATGGATGATGCTTGAATAGCCAGGATATCTCGGGCCATTATTGAAAGTGTTGGAAAAGCCTTGCCACGCTCCCTCCACCATACCAAAAGTTGTTCGTTGCCTTCTTCGTCTTTAATATTTTTCAATCCTTGATTAAGATAAGAATCAAGTTCATCATCAATAGAGGAATCAAAACCTATTAACCTATTATATCATCCATACCTTCCCATAGAACTTCTACTCTAGACTTAGAAGTAGAAGGTGCAGTTTCATCACCCGTTGCTTTCATAGATTTATATTTATCAGACATTGATCTAGCATAAGAATATATGTTATCTTGAAAGTTTTCGAGGGATGATTGTTCATTTTCTTGAATTGCTAAATTCTCATAAATTTTACGAACAAGTCCCTTTGCACCTCTTAATTTTTTAAAGATGGGTTAAGTAGAGTAGAAATTAAATAAACTTGGGGAATAGGAAAAAAATACTTTTTAAATTTTGCAGTCATTTCATTAATGCACGGTGCATAAGTTGGATTTATTTTATACTTACCAAATATAACAGAAATTCCACAAATATACCATAATATTTGTGTAACAGTTGGATAATATATACCAGAAAATTATTTTGTAGTATAATAGAATTTTCTAAAAATTTAGCAAGCTCTTTGATATCATCACAATCAAAATCAATAATTTGATCAACGGGATACCATTATGCATATTAAATACCTTCTGTATAGGCACCCGATAATCATAAGCAACTTTAAGCATTTCATAAATAGAATTTCACCTAATACAAACATCTTTTGAAACTTTTCTATACGGAAGGTTAGCACTAGCACATTGTTGAGAAAATTCACGAAGTCTACTCGCTTTATTAGCTTTAAAAATGTAGCCGAAAGCATGTTGTAGTTTACTACAAGCATCAAAAAATAAAGTAATACCATCTTTTACAACCAAGTTAAAAATATGGCATGCACATCTAACATGAAAAATTTCTGGATTAATTGGACAAAGTCTAGTTCTTAAGCTAGTTGTTGCGGTTGTGTTAGCAGAAACATTATCTAAGATGATAGTTAAAACTTTATCAATGAGTCCATAAAAATTAACTATTTGTAGAACGGTAGTTGCAATACATGCTCCGGTGTGTTTTGAATAAAAAAATTTATAACCAATAATACGTTTTTGCACGTTCCAGTGATGATCAACCTAGTGACATGTAACAGTTAAATAATCACAACCATTAGGATTGTGACCTATATTAGATGTGACAGACACTTTACAATCTAAGTGAAAAAATACACAACGAAAATACTGAAGATATTCGGTTTGAAATTTAAAAATATCATTTCTAACTGTGGTCTTAGGAAAACCTTGAAAAGCAGGATTATAAGTTTCTTGTATATAATGCACAAAAGCAGGGTGAGAAGGAAAAGTAAAAGGTAAGCCATAGACAACCACCATTTTTGCTAAGTCCTCACGATCTCTATCTTTGTTATAGGGGCGTAAAATAGTACCAGAAGAATGGTCAAGCTATTGTTGTAAAAAATTAGAACCCCCGCCAGATCCACTAGCTATAGGAGCGCCAGTACCGGTGCTAGGATTCGTAATTTTTCCGGCTTCTATGTTAGCTTGCATCCATAAAGATTTGTGCTCCTTAAGTAAGTGCCTGGTTAAACCCTCCGTCCCACCACTTTTGGTGTGTACAAATCGTTGCTTACCTTTTTCACATATAGCACGTTGATTGACTTTATCATGTTTAAAACATTTCCATACAAGTGATGTTTTGGGACCGACCGAGATTGACTCTGAATTGGAGCTTGTGTTGCGGGACTACTGGGTGTTTCATCTAATTCTTCTTCCTCATTTTCTTCATCCTCAATAAAAATATCATTACCAAATTGTCTTTATAAAGTTTCATGATCTAGTTGTTCTCTGAAATTAATATTATAACATGCGGGGTGTTGGAAAAATGAAGTTTCATCAACATGAGTCATTTCATCTATATGTCTTCTAATTCTAGGATAAGGATTACTACTACTATCACCTTTACTACTTTTTTTAAATAGGCCAAATACATTTTTAGGTGCCATAATTTGAATACGAAATTAAATTAAAAAAGTTAACACAAAAATTAAACACACAAATGAAATATGAAAATAGAACACGTAAAGTAAGCACAAAAATTAAGCACTAAAATGATACACAAAGATGATATATTAAAATTGGGAGATGGAACGAGTGCACCGTGATTAAATATTGAAACTTGAAGAAATTGCCCAAAAAATTGCTCCAAATACTTGACGAATTAATTTGAAGCTTGAAAGTTGCTCCAAAAATTTGCCCAAATACTTGAAACTTCTCACTTGATTGTGTGAAAATTGAGAGAATAATATAGATAGAATGTAAGAGATTTGAGAGAGAATGATTGATTTTTGTGGGAAAAAATAAAGAAGGATGGGGGGTATGTATAGTTAAAAAATAGGGCCAAAGTATAATTTAATAAACTTAGGAATTATATTAAAAGTTTGGGAGTAGGGGGTGTTTTGGGAGGTGGTGGCCAAATATGGCCGTTTTTGACCGTTGGGAACGACTATATTTGCAATTGAGGCTGTTGCCCAATGGCTATAATTAAAAAAAAATTAAAAAAAGACGCGGGTCAGGCAGGACGGGACGGGACAGGATAAACGGGACGAAATGGACATCCCGTTCCATCCTCTGTACCGTTTAACATGGGCCCATCCCATTTAGAATTAAGTGGGCGGGGACGGGACGGGACGGGACACGGGATGGGACGGGACGGCCCGTACCGTTGGACAGCCATAGGGAAAAGGGTCAAATATTGTTGATACCCA